GGTTAAGGACTTTAGATCTATCCTCAGGAAGGTTTCTGAGGTTTTGACCCATGTCTTGAATGTTGAGCTGGCAGTGCAGATAAGCGGAGGGAAGACCAGAATGCCCGACTAGAACTCATTGAGCAAGGTAGAGAAGAGGACATCAGATCAGAGAGGTAGGCAGTAGCCAGGTCCTGTAAGACCTGGTAGGTTTCCGTGTGGAGTTTAGAGTTTTTCTTCTGACTGTAATATGTAGCTGTTGGGGGGATTTTACCAAGGGGAGTGATTTGTTGATTGAATATTAAAACTATAAAAGCTTCTTTTTATATACTTTAAAAAGAACGTAAATGTTAGCCTTTAATTCTCACAGTAATCTTAGCATTATTTTCATTTGATGATTATTGTACTTACAAGTGTAACTTGTCTCACTGTGTCATTACTAGAACCACACAGCTAGTAAGCAGAGATTCCAGTCCCAGTCTGCAGGATTCAAAAGGTCCATGTACTTTCCTCTATGTTATGCTGGGGAATAATATATGCTGGGGTCCTGGTTGTTGATAGTACATTTTCACACTTCCTTGTTTTACCTTAGAGATCTTTATTTACCTCTTTTATTTTCAGACATGGAGATAGGAAATTTGAGGGAGCCAAGGATTCTCATTAAGTTAGTTGAGCACTTGGAATATGACCTTTGAATCTTAACCACAGCTTGAAAGTGTTCTTCAATTTCCCCCTCTCCCCCACCCCCACCCCAACCCCCAGAAAAAGGCTGATATATTATTGGAAAAATCAAAATTACTGTGGTAATATAAGATAATATGAAAAGGCAAACATGTTTTGTTGCGTACTGGAATAGTTTGTCAGTCTTTTTCATTTTATTAGGTTACTTAATCATTGACTTTCATATTTGAGCTTTAATTGATTATGATGAAATGTTATTCTTAACCAACAATTAACTTGTTCAGTATGTTCATGGCCGCCTGTTAATTTCATCTTTAGTGAGAAACTCAGAAAGGGCCATTCTGAGTTTTACTAGATGCCCACAAGTGTATTTACCTCTTTTTTTCGTGCAAATCAGTATCAGAGTTGTTGGGTTTTTACCTGTTAATTTCATCTTTAGTGAGAAACTCAGAAAGGGCCATTCTGAGTTTTACTAGATGCCAACAAGTGTATTTACCTCTTTTTTTCGTGCAAATCAGTATCAGAGTTGTTGGGTTTTTCGGTGCAAAATGAAGTGCAGAGAGAATTGCCCCCATTCTTTTATCAAATTCTTATTGTAGAC